GTGAAAAACATGCCGGCTGCTTTTCGATCAGCTCAGTTCGTTAGCTGGAAAGATCCATCAATTCCTCTGACAGGCACATTCGAATAGTGACTGATGCTTTTCCGCAGTTAGCAACAGCTCGTGCAATGTACTAAGTGAACAAACAAGCATTTACAAAATCTTATTATCTTTTGAAATGAAAAACTTCCTTCGCCATCTCGGGCAAACAGTTCTGAATGTTTCGGAGTACTGAGAGAGCAAATGTGTTTAAGTAGCCTGAAGAATGCCTCTGAATGGTCTGAGGCATTCTTTAAACAACTGAAACGCATTTTCTCCCAGCAAAAAAAAAACCTCTGGGAGATTAATCCTTAAAAATGAGGTATCATCAGCTGTTCCAGGAGGCTAATCTTTCGGCATTCATACTTAAAAGAGCGCACAAAGAATCATTTTTTGCAACAATAATCAGCTCCTCTCGTTGATCAATATTTATCCTCCTTTCCTTGGAAAATTTTTAGTTAGCTTACAAACGCTGCTGGACAGACTTGAGCCCAGTGGCGGCGGCTCGCAGTGGTTTGCGAGCGAGACGTGAAGAGAATTTGTAGCGGCTTCACGGTGGTCAACCATTCAAAAGAACACCAACAATAGTAATGATACAATCGTGTCAAACGTATCACCTGTACAGAGTGCTCATCATACTTAATTATATTTACACAATCTTTGTGCGAGTGGCCTTCAACAGTGAGTACTCTCCTCGCCAAAAACACACTTTTAAGAAATCTTGCGCAGTTTTTTCACAGTGTCAGCGATGTTATTGAAATGCACTCGTACGCCGGACGAAGTTGAAAACACGGACTTTTTTTAAGATATTTTATCCCTGTTCAACTGCGGTTATAAAAAACAAAATTGAATTTTACATCGTCAGTCTGGCCTTACCTACTGCTTTCAGCTTAATCTATTTCCCGTAATTGGTAAGAGGTGCCTAGTAATTTATGCTTCAAGTCCGTGTAGCGAAGTTAGCGTACTTTCTCGCTATTTGGTGTTCTACTAATTTTGTCTGCTATGCAAGGGAATTGGAGTTGTACCGAAGGAGATTGAGAGAGGAAATTTTGGGATGATACTGATGAACATGCTGCCGGGTAAATTAATTCAGCTTCAGTGCATATAAGCATTTTCCAGCTGGATCTGATTTTAGCCCTGTTGGTTGCTCCCCACACGTTATACAATAAATCAATTTCCGTAACAGTTTCAGCTTTCACTTGTTCCTTATCCCACCTGCCTGTACTAGC